ACCACAAAGCAAAACGCATGTGCTCAAGAAGTGCATAGTTCAGGCCGGGAATTTGAGCTGTGGAGCACCAGTTATAGTAGTGCCTTGTGATGTTACAGGAACACATTTTGGAATAAATATAGGATGAGTTCTAATCACATCTGATTACTCAGCATTCCACTGTTGTTTTGGGATGCTTTCTGCAAGAGGAAAATTGGGGGGGGGGGAGTGCTTTCTGCAAAATGAAACAGAACATCAGACACATTACTCAACTATAAAGAAAGAGAATTTAGACTGTTCATTACCCATCTCATTCTTTAAGAAATCAGTGTTGTTACCCGAGATGCAGCAAAATGGACTCCCATTTGGTGTTTAAATCCACTGGAGAGACAGCTCATACACTATTTTCAGGTAAGTATAGCAGTTTGCCTGGCCCATGCCCCTCATCTTCATCCAGTGCAACTTCTCATGCAAGGTAAATGTTCTAGAAATAGGTATCCATGTGAATGGGCTTCCATGTGCACCTGCCCTTTCTTAAGAGATGGAATTACACAAGTTTTGTTCCCATTTATGAAACCATTTGGTGAAAGGGTACATGAACATGAAGCTGGATGGCTTTCCGCCCACTGCATGCATGCTCTTGGTTTCTTTCTCCCACATGATTTCCCTGGAGAGACCAACTGGAACATGTTCAGCCAATACATTTTTCAATAGCTTCTAGACCAACTTAGTTCCTTTGATTTGGGTTCAGACTTAAAGTAACTGAACTTGTGTCCCATAGATTTTAGTGGAACCTGAGTGATGGTTAACTTGTCGCTTTGATTTCATTGGGAACTTAAGTGCAACAAGTCTGAATCCAACCCTCTGTCCTGAATGAAACCCAGACTGTACATCAGCAAATCCTGTCAGACTGGACATTTGCACAAATGTTTGCTTCCTGCATACACACAACTATCCACATAGAACACCTGCAGTTGTAAAAACACTGCAGTCTTGACACAATTGTCACTCACCTTCACATAGATTAGCATTTTCAATTACGTCCTTAAGAAACTAGGAACACTATTGAGTTGTTGTTTTTCCCTATTTACCCAAAACTGCCTATTGAAATGAAAGAAAACAAAGAAAATTTGCCAGAACTCTGGGCTTTCCATCATAAAAAAGCTCAACAACTCTGGTCAGTCCTCCCCCCACAAAGCTCAACAACTGTGGACCCTCCACTCTTAAAAAAAATAAAATAGGTAGATCACTGCCAGTTTTATACTGGGAGTAGAATGCAGTCTCTATAGAGAGTTGGATGTGCCTGCTTTAGGGCAACTCTCACACTTAAAATTAAGGGGCCTTACATACTTTGTGATCGGTTGGAATATATAAATTTAATACGACCATTACAGGCCACCTTTTAATAAGCAACTCTTCCTAATCTAGTTTACATAAAACATTGGTCATCCATTTGGCAAGTGGCTGTCCATTTGACATCATTTCTAGAATATGCATCCTTTGGTGCCTTGATGTGGTTTTGCCTCTGGTCTACTGAGCCAAGGAACAGGCCTCAGAACAGTGCAGAAGGGTGCAGCCTTACAGGTCAGGCCTACAATTCATCTTGTCCCTGTCAATGAACTGTGCCATCTGTTTCACAGGCTGAACTTCTATGACTTAAATCATCCAATACCCAAAGGGTCAAGAGCTTCTGACTTTACTAGGAGCAACTCAACTCAAGAAGCTGCAGATAGTTGGGAGGTGATTTTAGTTGGGATCCTGACTGGATGGGGGGAGAATTAAACTCTCTCCACAGCCCCGGCAGTAGCTGCTTACATAACAAAAAGTTCATGTAATCATCACATTTTTTTTGTCCATTAGCATGTGCACTAATCATACAATCTTTTTAGCCTAGTAATACTGCAAAGAAAGTACTGGGGTAAGAAGGAACAATTTTTACCACATTAGGAAGTGTTTTTGAGAAGAAATCCTACATTCATCTTAGTCTCTTTTGTGCTTCAAACCATGAAGATTGGAATTTATTTTACCCATTGGTTTTACTTTATGCAATTGCATGAACTTAAGAAAAATGGATGCAGCTGCACAGGAGGGAAATGCTAAATTACAGTTCTTACCAGGAATATAAAAACTTTGGGGAAAGGAAACAGAAAGATCAAGGCTCAAAAGTTTACTCACAATTTAGCCATCTTAGAACCACCCAATTGGGTTGACCACAAAGGATAAAATTCTAATACAAGAGCAGTAGTAACAACTGATGAGGTAAAATTCTGTTGAAAGTTGTAACCCCCAATTCCTAGTGGATCTGGCAACTGCACTGAGTAAAACACATCAACCAGCAAATGGGCTCAATGATCAGATCCCTGCGCTGTGCCGCACCAAACTTACTATTCTGTATTCTGTAAATAAAGTAGTCTTATTTCAATAGAAACTCTAGTCTCATGTCTCTTATTTTCAGTCTGATTCCCTCCTGCACCACTGCTAGTGGGTTCACAAATTATTATGAAATTCTGATCCAGTAGTAGCATACTGGAGGTTGTATTTGCTTTATATATGTGAGGCTTTGACAACAGAAATACAAAGGATGTTATATATATATATATATATAATAGTATTAATAGGCATGGTTTAAATAAGGTATGGTGTTTGTGGTGATACTTTAATTGCATTTAAAAAGTGGTAAATACTGAATATCGGAATCTCTCTTGGCTACAATTTCAAAAACCACACCACAACCAAGAAGCATAATTTCAATTCACATGTAAGTATTCACAGTGTACATAATCTCAGAAACCAAGACCCCTGTTGGTTTATTAAAAAACAACACCACCAGATTCCTTATTTTAGGAATGTGAATTCTAGATAGGCAATTTATTTAATAAACTATACAAAACAAGCATTTTGTTACCAAAACAGAAAATATTCACAAACTACAGTACAAAAGAGAAAGTGGCACACTTAATTTAATCTTTCTCATATTGTTATGGAACAATGTATCAACTGGTGTTAAGTCTTCCCTGTAATAAGCAAGTTATTAAAAATATACATAGAGCCAGTTGTTTTCAAAAGTGGAACTATGCAAAAGGATGCACTAAAGATTCAGAGAAAGTAATCTAGCCCATTTAAAAACCAAAACATGAAAAATATGTGCCCATCACTGAAAGATACATTTATGAATTTTATGTATCTGATCAAAGGCTGGCTCCCTCAATAAGATTGCTAAAATCTTTCAGTACTTGTTCTTCCCAAGTTGTGGTCTTCAATTTTTTCATTAATGTTAATTTCTTTTAAAGAAAACAACTATTTGCCACCACAGCAAAGTCTAACAAAGGCAACCCAACTATGTTATAATTGTCTCACTATGGGACAAGTGTTAGTTCAACTGACTTTGATCAGAATTCAAACTCAGCAATGAGTCAATAAATGAACCAAGTAGTGTGTGTGTGTGTGTGTGTGTGTGTGTGTGTGTGTGTAAAATGAAATGTTTCTATTTTGTAATTTAAATAGTAGATAACATTCATCCAGTCACAGAAGCAACCTCCCTAAAACATTTTAACAAACCTTTTTGAAGCCTAGTTTTCAGTTGCCCCAACCACAAGAATGTTTCAGTACTGATAAAATGTAATTATCTAACAAAGCAAAAGTAGCTTTTATATTCCAGAGCTGGTATGAAACATGAAAGTGAGCAACACAGTGTTATTTCAGAATGGAAACTGCTACTCACTAAATAAAACTGTTATACAAGTCTAAAGGTCCCAGGCATTATAAACCTCATGGTTATGTGATAATTTTTCCAGGTCCAAGATCATTGTAGGCATTTTGAGCAAGCTGGGACAAAGTTCAAGAGAATATCCCCATCATACTTTACAGATTGTGCAATTTAAATACTTGTACAGTGGTACCTCGCAAGACGAATGCCTCGCAAGACGGAAAACCCGCAAGACGAAAGGGTTTTTGGTTTTTTGAGTTGCTTTGCAAGACGATTTTCCCTATGGGCTTGCTTCACAAGACGGAAACGTCTTGCAAGTTTGTTTCCTTTTTCTTAACACCGTTAATACAGTTGCGACTTGACTTCGAGGAGCAACTCATAGCACACGGTGTGGTAGCCTTTTTTGAGGTTTTTGAAGACTTTGGTGATTTTTGAAGCTTTTCCAAAACTTTCTCGACACTGTGCTTCGCAAGACGAAAAAAATCGCAAGACGACAAAACTCACGGAACGAATTAATTTTGTCTTGCGAGGCACCACTGTATCATAAGGCCAGAGTGGGGAAAAAAGTCAGTTTTATGAGAATTATTTAAAATATTCCAAATCAGTATTCCATATAGGTAGGATTATACAAATCACCCTTTCATTGTGTATAAAGGTGCAAGTTGCCTTTGAAGTCTAACAATATTTATGAAGAATTGTTTTTGATCAAAATGCCTGTCTGTCTTTGATTTTGTCCATACTTAAGTATGCCTGAAAGTTCTGTAGCTGTCCACTCCAGCTGTACTTTGGATCATATATAAATATAATTGCACATCTACAGAAAATCTCTTCTTGTATCAGGATGTATGCATGGAGGAAATATGAAAACTGTCATATATCCTATTTCAAAGTTACTTTGAGCAACAAGCCTGATTGCTAACTGAAGTATGTAGATATATATTATTTTAACCTTTCTGGCAGTTTATGGTGTAATTCTAGAACAAGATTACTTAAATGTGCAAAAAACCCAAAACATTTTCATTAAAACAAAAGTATCAACTACTGTTCCAAAACTACATCACTGTAAACATTGTTTAAAAACATAATATTGTATCATGGCATTTTAAATAGTCATAGGAAGAAGTTTAGCTCACTTTAATTTACAATGGCTATACCTGTATAAAAGTTATTCTCTTCTGCCTATACTAGATAAAATATTAAAAGCCAGTAAAATATGGTGAAAACTGTAGATGCTTTCGCTTGTAAAAAGTCAGGTATAATACTGTTATAATAAGTAAATCAGTGATTAAACAAAATATAGGCCCACGAGTTTTTAAATTTCATTCTGTTGAGGGGGAAAAAGATTTTTTTTGAAACTGTCTAGTTCAGTTAGATAAAAGCTGCTAATTTTGCTTAGAGAAATTAGATTTCTAGAAATGAAGAGAATCCCTTTGAATTGATGGTACAATTTCCAACGATACCCATTGAAATCAATGGAACTTATTTAAGTTTGATCTAACTAATATTCTTACTTTATATCCAGTCCTTATGTTCACAAGGTTTTCAGCTGCTTGTGACCTAAAGCATAAAGCTAATGAAGCACAAGAGAACCAAATTATATACTATTATGCAGTTCTGAGTTGAAATGTACTTCAGCTGAAATTTAATACTAACTAGAGGGGATGGGAGGACACATAGGTACAACTATTGTTACACTTTTAGATTACACCTTGGAGCCAGATTCCATAAACAAACACAAGGCACTCCAGCTTACACTGTGGTGTGCCATTGATTCCTCCCTTCCCACTCTCACATCCAACCAACAATCTCCAAAAAGTCCATCTGAATCTAGTTGGGGGGGGGAGTGCAGCATACCCCCATGAACAGAAACACCTTTCACAGAAGCCCATGGAAATGGCCTTGAAGTCTGTAACAAGATCATTTTAAAAAATCATTGTACCAATATCAGGTTTGTCATTTTATACTTTCAGGTAAACAAAAACAAATATTAATTTGCCCTTCCAAAATATTTAATGGGTACATCTGTTCCAACACAGCCCACTACCCATATAAATAAGGCTCACCATTTTAATGAGATGCAACTCATAAGACTGGCTTAATGCAAGAAATGAGTGACGATATAAACAGCTAATCTACTGCCATACTTTAGTTTAATGGAAATATTAAAGCTTCTGAAACCTTCAAGATGCATGATTTTGTTCAAACCTAACAACTCAGTAGAAACTGGAAACCAATGTTTCTTGTGTTGATTTACAGGCTCTGAATAGGGAAGGAAAGTTTGTTGCTTTATGAATTCACCTGTCGTGTAAAAAAGCTGCCCTGAAAAAAGCTGCCCTGTGCTGATGTTTGAAATGCACATGAAATGGGAAGAATTAGGGTCACACCATCCTGCTTCATGCTTGCTTGTGCACTGCATTTCAAGCTTACGTAGGTAGAGATGTACATGCACAATATACTGATCTGTGTACCACCACAATCAAGGTGTACAGATAGGACAATACAAGAATTGAGCTCCATGTATTTAAGTCCGCATACACATGTGGCATTCAACAGGTGAATAGCAGCTGGGTCAAACACACCAGGGGGCAGCTCAGCACAAATCTTGGATCTTTGCATGTGTTTTAAATACAAGAATAGGGCTAGTGTGCCTAAAAAGATACAAAGCTTCATTTCCGCCTCTATGGATCAGATATACACACTATATTTTGAAAAATGTTTGTTGCAGGTGACTTCAGAAACCAGAAAACATAGATTTCAATGTTTCAAACTTAACACAATGACCTCTATCCAGAATTCTGATTTATTTCCAAATATGTTTTTTTTTCATTACAAGCTACTGCATTGAGTGGACTCCTAAAATTGCTTTGATGAATATAAAAAAAGCATCATCCTCTTGTAGTAAAATGGCACATATATTCTGGATTGCAATCCATTGTTCACCAAAAACATGTAACTGAAGCTTGCACAAGCAGCACAACCCATATTTTAAAAATTTCCCTGGTACAGGTTCATCATGTATTAGATTTTCAGTACAAACCTTATTGTAGTACCATTACAAATGTCAATCCTCAAATTAAGAATCTCAAAGACTGTGACATTATTATTATAAAATACTTAGAATTGTCTACCCTATTCTTTTTAAACACTGCAATCCTTAAAATTTGCAATTTAGACATTATTTTCAACTAAGAAAATCTTTAAAGATATCTCCAAAGATTTTTTTTTTAAAAAAGGGTATCAGGGCTATAGTACTAGCAACTGAATCTCTTTTATACTGACAAATTAGTCAGGTGCTCCTTAGTCTGCTGACAAAGTTATGCTGATAGTAGGTGGTCGTTGCTGATTTGGCTGTTTGCTTGAAATAGGAAGTTCTATTCTGTCGGCTCCAAAAATCAGATTCTCCTCTTGCAGACTACAGACTGAAAATCTGTTTGCTTCTGTGCCACTGTGGTGATTATTTGGAACTACACCACCACTGACCTGCTCAAAGGATTTGCTAAAAAGAGTAGTGCTAGTTCTAGCCAAACTATGACTGCCTGGCTTAGGCAGAGATTGGCTGCTAGTCAGGGTCAGTCTCTTTAAAGACAGAAGCTCTAAATTCTCACTCATTGCTCGCTGGTTTTGTTTACGAGACAGGTGATCTTTGTAGGCTTCACCAACAGTTTCTTTTTCCTTTCCTCCAACCTTGCTTCCTCCAGACCTCCGCTGACTCTTGCTTAGCTGAGTCTTGGTACTGCTGTTGCTGCTGAAAGCAGAATGATTTGTGGTGGAAGGAGCCCTAGAGTAAAAACCCTCATCAACTTCAGACACTTCAATCAGTTCTTCTTCTGGAATGCCTAGTTCATTACCTGCATAGAAAAAGATGACAATTAACATATGAATTTACTCAACCACGTTTTGCAAGTGATTGCATCCAGTACTGTTAAGATTTTGGCATTTCTTAGCACAAAGCAAAAGATTAAGGAGAAGATAGAAAACTTACCAATTATCTCAAATTGACAAAAAGTGTACAGTAGAATTTATATCAGAATAGTAAAGTAAATTTATTAGAAGCATGCTTATAATCTCATTTTGTAGCAATTTTAAAAAGCACTCATTATTCATGCAAAAGATTAGAAAGATGTTAGATATATTACAGAAAGATATTTATTCCAAATATGTGCAAAGGCATCTACATACTATCTGCATAGCGAATCAATCATGGCGCTAGATAATCAGGGCACCATAAAAGCCAATACGGCATCACCTGCAGGTTCTCAAATTTTAGCAAACCCAACAGTGCTTATATTTCAAGGACTGAAAGGTCACATTCTGCAGTACAAAGTTGTTTAATGAGAAGTCTAGAAACCTTACACACTGGAGTATTAGCTCTCATGGCTGCAAAGATTTAAAATGATAAAAATAAAAAATAGGATGAACTGACATGGTTTATGTACATTTCGAAGAAATTTTTCCTTAAGTGACTTTGTATAGCTAAAAGATTAGTACTGATCTAAAAATAACTCAATTGCCCGCCAATTTGAAGTCTCTCAGTGTGGTTTCCCAAGCTAAAACTTAAGAACTACCAGCATGCTAACAATGTATTCAGCACAAAGATCCGTTCTATGTGCAAAGCATGCAATTGTGTTTTATTCAAGGTAACATGCAAATATATTTATTGTATACTGTAATCTTCCAAACATGCAGCAGTGACCCTTTCAATCGATACCTTCTGAGTGTAGCTACAAAGTGCTCTGCTAAAACTGCACTCTGCCAGGTGAGCTTATTCCATCCTCCATAATTTTTCTTACAGATTTTTGCCTCCTGATCTCTGGCATGCCTTTGCTGTCAACTCTAGGATCTGTAGGTGCTTCCTGCACACCCTGTATATGCTGAGCATCATTCTCTGTTGGTGCTCTGCTTTTTTCCCCATTCCCGGTTCTCTCTCCAGTCACATTTGTAACACTAATCTCGGGTATGACAAAGCTGCCCGATTCAGTAGTGTCATTAGCATTATCTGGTTGTTCTAGAATTAAAAAATGGATAAGACAAAACAAAAAAAATGGCTGAAACAAAAACATGGAGACAAAAGGAAAAAAAGACGAAAAAGACAAAACTAGAAGGCTGAATGTTATGAAGTCAGATGTTTTGCTTACTGTCCTATTATTTAGCAATATTAGTAGGAAGGGCATACATTATTTCTGAGAGTAAAGTGATTCTGCTGCCACTAGAACATTTAAAAATGAAACTCTAGACATTTCAATTATAGCCCATGTCTTACCTGTCAGCTGCTGCTACTGTAGTAAATACGTAAATAAATACATTCACTCTAAAGTTATCATGTAAAAGTAAACTATAATAAATCCAGAAACAGCATAATAAAGAAATTTCCTTGTAGGTTGCACCGTAATATATTGGAATTTATCTGACTCACAGAGTTGTATTATAATCAACATTATTTCTGTATTAATTTTACATTACATAAAATTGACATTTATCCTACATATGGAGATTCACTATGCTAAATGTTTTTACAGAAAATATTTTGAACCTTTCTGAAGCCAGGCAAATGTGACATCTCCCCTTTGTCTCCCTCTGGGCTTCAACATATGGCCCATCCCGTTGTGGACTGATCCCTATTTGAGCCCTGTTTCTTTGGGTAGGCACATGAGCATTCAGACTGTATAAAAGATCATAAAAAGGCTGTGAATCTTCCCCAATGTTAGTAAAATAATTTCTAACATTTGTATCACACCTTTATTATGAAACACTCATGGCAGCTTAAGAAAACGATAAATAATGTTACAAAGAAAACTATAAAACATCAGTAAAAAATGAATCCTAAAAATTGCCAATAAGTGATATTTCAGCCAAATATTACAAGTTCTTTGTGTTGTGGATCTTCACGCTGCCAACCTTGATTTGTTATAGGAAGAATATGGTATTAAACTGAGGAAGAAACAGTTAGTTGCACTGCTGTCATGATTGCCTTAATCTATGAAGGCTTCCTTATGCACATTTAACACTTGATCTGCACAACTTCTATCACACATTTTGGAAGTTTTCTGTTGCCATTTACATCACTTCTAAGGGGAAAGCAGTAACAAATACCAGCACCATAGTACACTTGTAGCGCAGCTGAAATGTTGAACTTTACTATATTAGCATGCAAAACTTACTGGCCCTTTGTGTTGCTGAGCAACTTAAAATAACTAAGAGGTTCTGCTGGTTGTCGGACAGACAAAAACTAAAGAGTTTTTAAAAAGTGTTGAATGATTATTGGGGGCCAGCGCGACTAGTAGAATCAGCTTCATTAAAAGGAAAAAAATGAGGGCAATAGAGTCAACCAAATTTGGAACAAAACAGGGCCTGAATATCTAAAGGTCATAAGGAGGTCATGAGCTTTGTAACAAAATGGAATGCTCAGTCTAAATGGAAAATGAACAGACTACAAAAATGCATAGACACTGTCCAATCAGAATTTGAAAGTTCAATCAGTGGAAGGGAGATGGGCAGCACTGGAAAGAGCTGCATCATCAACTGCATTTTTACAAGTTAAGCACCCTGAAAACCATATAGAAAAACAGAGGCTTAACACATCTTTGCAACATTAGTCACAGTATTCAGTAATTCATAGGGTTTTTTTTTACTTTAATAGCACATTTTAAAAGCTGAACTGGCACACTAAAGAAAAGAAACACAGAATTACATTTTGTATTTCTACAGCATTTTGACTCTGATTAACTGGAATCTTAACCTCAGAGATTCAGATAGCTGGCTATCACCCTATGGCACTAAGTCATACTCAGAGCAGACCCAGTGAAGTCCATTATTTCAATGAGTCTACTCTCCAAATCACCCATAATGTATTTACAGTCTCAATATATTTTTCCTTTTCTAAAATCAAGCAGTTAGAACAATAAATATAAAAGAAAGACACTGTATTTTTATGTTAGAGTTGTACAGATGATTTCTGGCTTAGAGAATACTATTACAAGTCAGCAAGTGTTTTTAGGAAGACAGAGGATTGAAAATATTGAAGAGCTGGGAGCCAAGTAGTTTTGAGGTCAATTGATTAAAAATAGAAATTATAATCATTCTATTTTATAGCAAATGCAGGGAATCAAGTGCCTATCAGTTTCAAAGCAAAACAGGGCAATCAAAAATAAATGTATGGTTTCTATATACTAGGAGAATCCTATATTAAAATAAATGAAAAATTGTAAAACTCCAAGAGTAACCCAAATGCACACCACTGGAGATTCAGAACTCCCCAAAATGTTGAGGACAATTGAGCTTACATGGGGAGAAAGGGGGGTATAAAAGGAACCAGATGTCTGGCAGATTGTGTAGAACATGGAAGGTAAGGAACTACAGGACACCATCCTGCTCAAACCCCTAACAGCTCACAATGAAGTGGGATTAGTTTAGGGAAACATGAACTCAGAGATTTTTAAAAACCCTGCCTCCATGGTACTACATAGGGATGTTTTAGGAAAAACAATACATGTTGCTGCTCATCAGAAATCCTTGCCATATATCTCTAGAATGCTCAGGTTGCAGGCTGGAAGCCCCTTCTCAACAGAGCAGGGAAAGGTCTGGGAAGGAGGAAAAAGAAGCAAAGAACCACAAAAAGGAGTCCTTTTCCTTTGCCCCACTCCTGCAAGGACAGAACAGGACTACTAGGCTCCTGTTCCAGGCTGCTTGCTGTTTTTTTAGGGCTGGGGAATATACCCCCCAATATTTTGTTCCAAGTCCCAGTTCTTCATTCTTATACAGAACTTGAGATCTCCAAAGCATGCCAATTCAGCAATAAAATTGGCTTGGCTAAAAATTAACCACCTTTTTTGGCATCCACATATACACTTTGTGTCATTATACCATCGTTTACGAGAATTGACATCCTTTTCTAAGCATTCATGTTCTATGTTGCTCTCACCAATATCTGATTTGATTTCTCTCAAGCTACTAAGTATGGACGCGGGTGGCGCTGTGGTCTAAACCACAGAGCCTAGGGCTCGCCGATCAGAAGGTCGGCAGTTTGAATCCCCGCGATGGGATGAGCTCCCATTGCTCGGTCCCAGCTCCTGCCCACCAAGCAGTTCAAAAGCACGTCGGGTGCAAGTAAATAAATAGGTACCGCTCCGATGGAAAGGTAAATGGCGTTTCCATGTGCTGCTCTAGTTCGCCAGAAGTAGCTTAGTCATGCTGGCCACATGACCCGGAAGCTGTCTGTGGACAAACGCCGGCTCCCTCGGCCTATAGAGCGAGATGAGCGTGCAACCCCAGAGTCGTCCGTGACTGGACCTAATGGTGAGGGGTACCTTTACCTTTATTAAGTAATGGAGCATAGCTTCCTAAGCTCAATGCTCAAGAAATTAAGAACTCACTAGAGCAGTACTTTTCTTATGCAAATTAACTTAATAGGAAATGAGAATAATAATGCTATTGTTGTAATATACATAGACACACAGAGAGAAGAATCCAAGCCCAAATCTTTCAAATTCTAAAACTGCAACCTGATGAATGACCAACTAAGTTTACCATCTTTGAGTTAAAAACTATGTGACGTGTTCTCTACAGAAACACATGGAACTAAATTCCATGCCTCTACTAACACTGAAAATCTCTCCCACTTAGTGGCATGTTTCCATATAGAGAGTTTATGACATTGATCTGGACCTCTAATAATCTGGGAGTTCCTGTTTTAATGCCCACAGTACATGTTTTGCTAAATCATTTTGCCCCACACCTGTGTGAAGTGGTCAGGTTGCAGCAGTAGGGTTTATGTTCTTCTAGGCAGTTGCAATAGGTTGGTGTAGCAGGCTTAGTGAGACCAAGTAGATGCCACCTACATGCACACTGGTTAATGACACAAAGTAGCAAAGGAGGTAGTTAATTGGAGATGACTGCAATGGAACAGGGAAATGCCTCTTTTCTACTCTGAATCAAAGCTTTGAAGCAAAACACTGTTTTCCTTTGTGGTGAGAAGGTCAATGCCTGGAAACCCCCAATATTTTCTTCTAGATTATTTTTAAACACAGTTAAGTTATAAAAGTTTTCTTTCAGGAGACAAAGAACTCTCCCCCCCCCCCATTTTACACAATATCATGACATCACCTTCCTGAATTGAAAGCTCGCAATTTACTAACTCTTAGGAGTCTGCAGCAACACTTGCATACCTGGCAAATAATTGTTCTTCTTAACAAAGTAACTGTTCATCTTTTATTGGAGTCTGTTGCTTTACTAATACTATCAAGCCTCTTTCCTTACTGTTATCTGCTGCAGCAAACACTTGTCCTAACCATTGACTCGTGAACTTCAGCACCTGTATCATCAAGTATGACTCCTGCAGGAAGGCAATATTAAAGAATGGTTTGGTTTCTAAAAAGTGCAAGGTATTTAACTTTTCTGGACTATCAATATATTTAGTTTCATAAAAAGATACAAAATTGTATTAGTTAGAAGGAAGCAGTGCTACGTGTCCTTGGACCATTATTCTGCAAGTTACAGAATTTAGAAATGCTAAGGTTTAAACTGTATAGAAATGCCTGAAACAAATAAATAAGTGAAATTTGGGCAACACTCCAAATCTTTCTTAACAGTTTCTTAACAAAGAGGAGACAAAACAGAAGCAGCAGCTAGCCAAATCAGTAATCAAATGTACTTCTTAGTAGTAGTTTTTTGTTTTTTTTAAAAAAAGCATTCTGCTGCAGTTCATTTAGAAGACAGCAACATCTCTGTATGATCAGATTCGTCACAACAGATACCACTAACCTGTACAAATTGAGCTTTAAACCATAGGACTGAAGTGAAATACTCTACCGATCTCCAAGATAGTCAGAAAACATCACTGGGACTATTAATAGGTTCTCCAGTGACTTTATATCCGTAGATAAAATTGGAAAAAGGTTCCCAGTCCAAAGGTTGTTGAAGTGGTAGGATAAGCTTATCAATCTACTTTTTGATCCATAATGGATATAAATCCATTATGTTAGTGATAAATCCCAGTAAATCTTGATCCTGCCCCTCAATATGTTGTAGATTATAGATGTTGTCTTGTTTTATACTAAGTATGCCTAATTTCTCTCTCTCAATAGAATATGTTGTTTTGTGCAGGATGAAATAAGCCTCAGATCACCCAACTGGGGAGAAGGGTACATTCAAGATCCATTCTAATGATCAAAAGTTGTGATTAAATAATTTCATAGTGACTATCCCATAAACAAATGAAAGTAAAAGGCCTTGTACATGGGGATGCTACTGCTTTGCAACATATTCTTAACACAAAACCTACACGGACACTTTAAGAGCAAAACAACTATAATAAAAACCACTGATTTGATAAACTTCACTGTTTAAAATAATGAAGTTCTAGTTACAGTTGTGCCTCACAAGACAAAATTAATCCGTTCCGCGAGTCTCTTCGTCTAGCGGTTTTTTCGTCTTGTGAAGCAACCCTATTAGCGGATTAGCGCTATTAGCGGTTTAGCGGCTTAGCGGCTATTAAAGCCTTAGCGGCTAAAAGGCTATCAGCGGCTTAGCGGCTTAGAAAAGGCGGGGGGAGGGGGAAAAAATCGCAAGACTCGGAAGACTTTTTCGTCTTGCGAAGCAAGCACATAGGGAAAATCGTCTTGCGAAGCAACTCAAAAACGGAAAACCCTTTCGTCTAGCGGGTTTTCCGTCTTGCGAGGCATTCATCTTGCGGGGCACCACTGTATCTTAATTTACACAGTTTAATTTACTCTTGGGAATTCAATCTATTATTTTGCTCCTTAACGAAATTATATACAGAAGCTTTCAACTTGGGATGAAAATTCCAGTTACGATGAAATTCTAGATAGAGGCAGCTGAGGTGCACACCCACACTAATTTTGCAGTGTTCATATTAAAATTTAGGAATAATGAATGGTAAACTGAATAAGCATGGAGTACTGATAGAGGAAGTCATAGTATCTCTTTGTATAAAAGAAATTAAATAACACAATTAATTCATCAGCCAATTTAATGACATTCTGGAAGCCTTGACTTCTAGAATTTAGTTAATAAATTGTAGTTTCATTAACTGCATTTCTTACCATGCCTTTTCCATCTATGGCCCCGAATAGACATGCTGGTCACTGCATTTCTTGATATTCTAGATGCAGTAGGTGTAATTTCAACCTGAATACATTTTGTACCTTCTTTATTAGATTTTATGGCACCCTGAGGCAATGAAGCTTTTATTGCATTAGCAACCTAAGAAATCAACAAAAAGGTGTGATAAATTTTCAACATTAACACCAGATTTTGAATTAAAGCAACAACATTTCATATGTACCAAGGAAAGCATCACTATAGATATGATTAAAGTCAAAACAAAAAACAGTTGGACTTCCATCTGTTCAATTATGGCTTTAGAAGATTAGTAAACCATTCAGACTGAACACTTGCCTTAAAAGCTGTTGCAGAAGTCCATTTATAATCATGTTTCCCCCTCCTGGCTGTCTTTTAACTATCCACTGTCATTCCAAGTGTACAGAAGTCCTTGTTTCTATTTACTGTGTGCTCTTAAAAATTGAGAGACTATTATTCCTTAGGCTTTGGGTCCCCAATATTGTATCCATGGACACTACAGCACCTCAGTGGCAATCACCAAGGCCCCTTGTCCCTCTCAATTTGCAAATGTTCTTAACATAGTTTTTTGCCCTTTTTGGGTTGATGTAGGAGGTGGTGCTTGCTTTTTGGTCTCTGTATTGTATTTTTGAAGGGGTGTCCAGGTGCTTTTATTGGGAAGGGTTCTGAGCATCACCAGACTGTCTTGTGAAATGAGAATTTTGTGTTGCCAACGACCGTTTTAGATTTCCAAATGTACCCCCAGGCCCAAAGAAATGGAGTTGGGCCGTCCTGTTTTAGAGACAGCTTTGCCCTTGGAAGGCTAGGCAGCCATGGCCAGGAGTGTGTTTGTATAGCTTAGGCCAACTGTACATATTCCTGGAGAATGCATGTCTGCCCTTGATTATGCATGTCCTAGTTTACATCTAGAGCTTCCAATCAATTTCCAGTCCTAATTTAAGAAGCTACTCATAAGTTCTTGAACCCTATATATCCAAGAACCAGGCTATTTAAAGGACAACCTCCTCCTACATAAAGCTACCCATCCACTTGGATCACTGGTGAAGACACTTTGGTATCTCCTGTTGCTATTAGAGGTATGAAGGGTGGTATTGAGGGAGATTGCCTTTACCACAGTAGTTCCAAGGTTATGGAGCTCCCTCTTTGAGGATATCCATCTGGCTCCTACTCTGCCTGTGTTTTTAGCAAATACATGGCCAGACTAGTGTCCAATTTGTTTTCTTCTCCAATATTTTATCTTTTTCTGGAAGGTTTTATTAGCTCATTGCCTATGATTTGCTTTTTAATTGTTACAGAAGATTGTTTTTAATATTTAGCTTACATTACTTTGGCAAGTTCATATGAGCTGGGAAATCAGGATATAAATGTTTTAAATAAAATGTACAAATGCTATAGAAGAATTTAACACAAGATGCTTACCAACAGTGGTTCTGGATATAACTCCAGTTGTGCTCTATATAAAATATCATCCATTGCTTTACGAGCTAGATCCCATTCTCCATTATAACTAGAAAGTTAGCAGAGACACAAAATCAGAACTGATTATAATGATTATTCATTTCAACATCACAGCCATACATGTTATTCATTATAGATCCATCTGGATGAATCATTTATCATAATAGAAATAAAATGCACAACAATATATTCAATAAATAATAGAAGCTATTTGGAAACACTGATATTTACGATGATATTTTCTAGTCATTAACTCTGTCTGGTGATCCCCAGCCAGCATGGCCAATGGTCAGAGATAATGGAAGGACCCAGAATTGGATAAACCTGGTGTAAAGGAGCACATCTAAAGTGCTGCTTGGTCTGCCACTGCTTCTGGATGCCCAGGTGGTAACTTTACTCAAATGTGGCTGGTGCTCCATGAGAACATCAGAATAGCCCTGCTGGATCAGATCAGTGGCCATGTATACTCTCCAACCATTAATGTACTATTCTTTTTTAAATATAGGACATAACATTTCCTGAACTTACAAAGCATAATAAATCCCAGTTAACATCTGCACCATGAATTCAGACGAAATTGGAATCCTGCTGTTTATGCCTTTGTATTTCCTTACTTGTTGACGAGGATATCCGCAAACACAGATTCTAAAAGAATATAATTAGTATTAGTATTGTTATTTTAGATTGCTTGATTGTGTGTTAAAAAGAGGAAATATAGTGTGCAGTTGTTATGTTGAAAAGTATAAAAGAATCCTGAAATGCATGTTCTTTTTTTAGGTTAAATAAGAGTGCATCTAACTAGCCATTTCCATCTTTTCAGAGTTGTCTCCTACAAACCAAATCATTGCTCTTATCTGGTCAAATTTCTATTAAATCAAGTTCAATTAGCAATCCAGCTCATAAAAGATTCCAGCAGGATTCCTGAAGAGCTTTGCCTTGGATACAATAGTCTGACAAACCAATTAATTAAACTTAGGAATTTGAGTGTACATCTGACTGATTCAGGGTGGAGAATTGTTTGGACTCCATGGGGCAGATCCTTATTAGGATCAGTCTTATGGGCTAAATGTGACGAGCAGGGTCGCCTACCTCTCAAGAATATGACTTCCCCTACAGGGAGCTCTCTTGCATACCCATTCTTCTTTTACACTGTGGAGAGACAGCGATCCTGTTTAGGGCTGGGATCCAAAAGTACTGTTTGAAGCACCTGCCCTCCTCTTTTAGATTACTGTTTTCCATGTACCAAGGAACCTGTGTGTTTCACCTAAGAATGGTGACAAACCTGCATAACAGCTGGCTTATGCATTTCCAGAAATGAAAAATCACCCACTGGAGTTTTAACATGTACCAAGCTCTACAGACTGGAACAGACACCTTAGGATTACAATTTAAAAATACTATTCTCAGTTCAACCAAGAAAGAAAACTTACCTTGAGCAGATTTGACATAAAGATTGAAGAGAAACTGCAGGCATATAGCTTAAGGCAGCATTGTAACGCAACAAAAGGAATGTCAATACTTCAAACCTATGAACAAATAAAGAATTCTGATTCATTGAAAAAATACACACGGCTTGATACACATTATGAACTGTTATCAAGAACATACCACAAACATATAAACTATACTATTAAAAGTTCTGTTAAGTGTGGGATATGAAGATAACATGGAAGGCTAGTTGATAAGTGGCCAAGTGTGGTTTTTTTGTCTAAGACTGAAAGCAACAGCATGCATTTTTACCTGTTTTGTGCTGTTAACATCTCTCTCTGCAAATGAGGTCCGCTATACACAACCCTGGATAAGCCATGCTGAGATAGAGCACCCTCAGTAAGAGCCATTGACCCAATACTGGAAGGCTAAGAAAAACAGATACTTGAATACATCACTAAGAACAGGAGTACTGAATATATATATATATATTTAAAAAGCACAAAGAAACTAAAATAGACAGCTGATTGTTGACAAACATAAAAGTATAAAATTTAACTGAATGTTACATGGTAAGCAGTACACTCATAAGTAAAATGGGGAAAGGCCACTAAAATATAGTACAGAAGATTCATTGTGCCACTTCAATAGTAACTTAAGAGTGGTAACAAGATCAGTTTACTGGCACAGGTGGGTTAGAAAGGGGAGCTGAACTCTTCCCTGTGCAATTCCAAGTGAAACTATTTTTAAAAAGAGCTAATGACCTCTTAACAGGAGTTTCCTCTAATATTGGAGCCTCATCAGGAGAAAACCAGCTAAAACATGGGGGCGGGGTAGGCTCAGTTCCTGCCTTCAGCCCAACTTGTGCTATGTTCCCAATTTCCCTTGCAGCTAGGGATTTGGCAACAGACCTAACTTTGCAAGAGGGTCTGTTGCTATCATGTGTCCTTATACTTCAGTGCTAAACGTTTCGCTGAAACACATCAAATTTTTTGGTTATCACAGTTTTCATCCACTTAAACTCTAACCAACAAGAGACATTTTATTCTCATTTTATCTTCAGCTTTATTATTCCACTGACCAATCTAATGTAAAATATTTCATAATTTTAAATAAGTTAGGTTCTACATCAGGCATAGGCAAACTCGGCCCTCCAGCTGTTTTGGGACTACAACTCCCATCATCCATAGCTAACAGGACCAATGGTCAGGGATCATGGGAACTGTAGCCTCAAAACATATGGCGGGCCGAGTTTGCCTATGCCTGTTCTACATAGTTACACCTGAAACTCATTAGAACTTTAGCCATGACAATACTTCTCAGATAATTTAAATGCAACATTATATATTCTAGAACACTGAAGCCCATCATATTTTACTTCAAATATTTCACATTAAGGATACTTTTAGAACAGTCTTTCCCAAACTGATCCCCACCCCCAATGCTTTGTAGTAGAGCTCTCATCATCCCTGACCACTGGCCATTTCCCCCTGGGGCTGATGGGAGACAATTTAAACACCTGGAGGGCATAGGACAATTAATTAATCAGCGTGCAAAACCCAGGTACTCTCGTGTTCATCCTTGCCCTAATCACTTGTGCCTTTGTAAGAAACAGCAACTAGTTGCACTACCAGCAGACTTTTAAAACAAAAATATTTATCCTTAAGATGACAAAATCAAGGCCAGATGACATTCATGCAAGGGAGGCTACAACAAAACTACACACACATATGGAAACAGAAGTGTCTATTAAACTTACTTCATGATATATGGAAGGTTTGGATAAGGATGGAATTGTAAAACTTAATACCCTACTGTGCCCCTCTTTGTCAACTATTTCCTGTAAGGTATAAAAGAAAGTTATGACATATAATGAAAAATATATGGAAGTTTGTTTAGATTAGAAATCATTTGAGCAACTGCAACAGAGTAGGGCATGAACTTCCCATCCCTCATTAGTTCTTTAATTATGCCCAAAGCTACTAAATGGATGCACATGTGAACACTTGAATTTACAAGATGATGAATGTGGAAATCCAGCATCTTCTTATTCTTAACATCTAGGATGTCCTAATCAAAAAGCATCTGACAGCTGACATATTAGAAGTTTTACTCAAGTGGAAATATTTACTAAGTCTAATCTTGCTCAATATGTTTGCATCTTTAGAGTCCTGAATAAATCTTATGGGTCATATCTAATAGCATACACCAGTTAATGGAAAGTTCTCTTGATCCAGCAGAGATTTCTATCACAAGGAACAGAGAAAGAAAACTATTTATCATTAATGGCTGATAGTCACACTCATTTTTATAGGTTCTGAAAGTCACTTGTGCTTTACATAGCACCGTGACTCAGCCGTCTCTTAAATTGCTTGACTTTGGGGGCTCCCTTGACAGACCCTTGATTATTCTGATCTCTCTGTCCTCAAGGTATATAAGCTTACCCACAAGATGAACACAGTGTGTTTTGCAAAGTAGACTCTGTTTATTATTATATGAGACTACTGCTTTAAGTACAGATAGAATGAGAAATGAGTTTCCTTTAAGCCTCCATCAAAGACATTCCACATTTAAACACCACTGATGCAGTGAAACACCAATTCTGAGCTTAATACAGAAAAAGTAATTACCATGGTTATAAACTCAGGTAGATAGCCATTAACTGTATCAGCTAATCACATTCTTTTCATTAGTATGCTTATGCATATTAACCAGAGTACAGAAATGGAAATGCCTTCCCAGAATACAGACCATGTTTGTCTCTCCCACCCCCTCCAAAGACACAGAGTAGAGCCAAGGAAAGTTTAGGAAAGGCACATTGTTAATCTATTGCTCCATTATCTTGTAATAGAAAGCAAGACAATGCTTTGTAGTCTCTCTCACCCACCCACTTTGCCCTTCCTCCCAATGTCTTTCACTTTCAAGCAGAAGAAAAGGGTGTTGGGAATTCTACAGCAAAGAGCAGATCCTCCACATACTTTCTTCCCCCACTCCAATATCAGATGTACTTTGGATTGCTTCCTGCTGCAGCAACCCCCCACTCATTTTCTCACCAATATCTCACATACCACATCAGGAGATACTGAGGGGTGGGTGGAGAGAGACTATAGAAGGAAGCAGGGAACCTACTTCCAACCCTGTTTTCCTTTTAGAATAATACACAGCCCATTTTACCATGCAACTCTCCCAAATATTTAGTCAGAGGGACGCTCCAGGGAGGAGTTATCCTACTACTATCACAATGAGCTTAGAAGGTAAACATGTGATATGAAGAATGCCTACTGATGAATGCCGCATAGCTCAACTGTTTTAAAACAGCTTCCTTCATCCCACTGTGCTAAATCTACAGAATACAATTGCTAAATCCAACTAATGTCAATACAGAGAATACCAAACCAGAGCAAGTTAATATTCCAGATTTTTGGCTTGTTTTCTGACAAAACCACATGAACATTTCTGCTAATAGCAGTATGTCACAGGGATTTAACTGGTTAAGAGGCCCCCGGGACATTACACTGTAATTTGCACTTTATCCCAAGAGAGAATAATTAATTTCTCAAGTGTGAATACAAACCAAGTTATAAACTCCTAAGAGAAGTGCTTCTATGCAGCCACTGCTTTGTAGGTCCTTACTGGCAGAAACAGCAAGATAGCACCATATCAGTTCTGGAAGAAACTGCAGCGTGAACTGAAGCAGAAGTTCCTCACTACTACGATAAAATTCAAACAGCTGATGACAGACTGGTTCTAGCAGCTGAAACAAAATCAAACATTAAATATTTTGTTAGTGGATTAACACATCAGTATGCTTTTCTACACTTTTTAAAGAAGCAAAATTTATCAATTCTTAAAAGAAACAGTTCTGTATTGTAAATGTTAAATTAGTATGCCCCATTCTCCCCTTATGCCATACTCAATCAGAGCTGCTCTTTCATCACCACAAAAGAGAGAAATAGGCAAACTGTGAATTTCTGTCTTTGATCAGAAATGCAGCAGGAAAGAAAACAGTTAAAACTCTCTCCCACAATTCCAATAATTATCTAATTATTGATACATTTAATTTCACATCTAGTTTGGCTCTCAGCTGAAAAGGGTACTCTTTAAAATCAGATTTCCAGTCTTAGCAGCACCATAGAAAAGTTGAAATATACAAAGGTAGTATCTACAGAAAGTCAAAACAAGAGGTCTAAAGCAGGGTCTCGTAAAGAAGAGGACAAGGTTTAGTGCTCTGTGTTGTTCTTACTTCTGCTCACCCTGCCCACTTCTTGAGAACTTAGTGCTGCAGTGAAACAGCATGCACCATTTATTCTCAACAGTTCTCCCAACCCCAATTATAATTCTGTACACATTTACCTACCTCACTTTGTGGATCCTGAATAACTTTATAAAGAGATGAAACCAGAGAACTCTTGTCTTTCAGATTTTTAGCATAGCTTGGTATAGATGCTTCTGGCACTGTCTAACACAAAACATTTTAAGACACAGTAAGCCAATATATAAGTTTCTTTGCAATTAAGATATTTATTTCCCCTTCTTCATATGGGGTATTCATCCTATTTTTTCAGGCTGTATTTTTCTTGTGGGCAAAAGTACCTCATAAATTTTTTTTTATTAAATTTGTATACCACCCTTCAGCTGAAGATCATAGGGCAGTTCACAACATGAAAATACAAAATGAGGACACAAAATATATACCGGTAATAAAACAAACAGACCGATAACCTCCCTCCCACAAACTCATTTAAAAGGACACAGAATTTTAATCAGTCCACACCAAAGATCTGGTTAAAGAGAAACGTTTTGCCTGGCACCTAAACTTATATAAAGGTATATTCTAGCCATTCATATACATAGAAAAAGGAGAAAAGTAGAAAATGGGGAATAGAGGGAGAGTTTGAAGGACAATGTTCTTGCGAGAAAGGGTCCATGTATGCCTTTTGGTGGTGATATGGGACAAAAAGAAAGTATGAATGGTAATGTTGAAAAGAAGACTAAATTAGATAGAGATTTTATTTATCTATTTCATAAACTTTATATGCCACTTGATTGAGGTACAAAAGTGGTCTACAAAGAGAATAAAACAACAAAAGTATTGGTAGAAAGAAGTTAAAACTATTATATAAACATTTGAAAAAAACGGGGGGGGGGATCAGCAATAAACTAAAAACAATCAAACCACATATAAACATGCCACATTATCTGGGTAGGCTTGTCTAAACAAAAAGTATTTTTAGCAGGAGCTAAAAAGAGTACAGTGAGTGTGCCTGCCTGGTATCAATAGGCTGGGAGATCCAAAGTGTAAGTGCTGCCACATTAAAAGATTGATTTCTTATGAATGCAGAACGGGTATTATGTGGCACCTATAACAGTGTCAGTTCCGCAGGTCGAAGTAGTCGAGTGGACATATATAGGGTAAGATGATATTGTAAGTAACTAGTCTGAAGTTGTTAAGGGCTTTATATACTGTACTATGAGTAACATCTTGAACCTGGCCCTGTACCCAGATTGACAACCTATAAAGATCTCTGTGCAATGGTATTAAGTCCTGACGAGGTCTTGGGTTTCTGATAGGTATGACTCCCATGATGCCATTCTGTGAAGGATTCTATAAAATAGCTAATGTGTCCACAATATCCAAAAGGTTTGGGACCTCTGCTCTACACTATACTGGCTCTACTACTATGGATGATTGCTAGCATTTAATTCTTGAAAATGAATATTTATTTTTGGGAACCATATATTACCTTGTATTCCGATAACCATTCTTCTACGATCCCTTTGTCCACCGCCAACATCTTCCAACATCTGTTCTGAAATCTTCAGCCTTAAGATTTGGAGCAAAAAGTTTAACTATTATGCAATACACTTGTTTTCTGCAAAAGTGGAACCACTAAGGAGTAGATATATAGCCTTATGATGCAACCACTTACTCCCGTTTCCATAGCTATGCAACTCCTTTTTTTATCTTAAATGCTGGAATGTTAAGAGGGGGAAACCTATATTTTACTGAAGACCAGCAGATGTTCAGACTATACACATCTTCTCTGAAACCTTTAGATGTATATGAAAGCATGTCTCAACTTTTATATGCTAAGATATGGAAATGAATATATTCCTCTCAAACGTACAGTTTGCTGAAGTAGAATTAGTGGTGTAATATTTTCATTTCAATATTTTTCCAGAATCTTTTTTTGGGAGGAGAGTCATGAGACACCATCAACTCTGCCCCTCAAACTGGCAAGAGTAGCACACCAAATTTCACACAATACATTTTCAATTATGTTGACAGGGAAGACTGCCACAATTTTTTTATTTCTATCCACAAAAGGACATGCTAGGATTCTCAGTATCACCAGTTACATGGGAAATACACAGATTTATAGCCATATAATGTCCACATGTATGAAATTACTCAACAGAAATTACTGGTTTTGAGAATTCTAAGGAAAAACCATCTTCCGCAGAAACTGCTGCTTGCCTTCTATCACTGTGCCATTGAGAGCGTGCTCACTTATGGCTTATGTGTGTGGTACGGAAGCTGTACTACCCAGGACAGGAGGGGGTTGTGCAGAGTTGTTAAGGCAGCAGAGAGCATTGTTGGCTGCCCACTCTCCACCTTAGAGCAGATTTATGCCACAAGGTGCCATAGGAAGGCACTGGACATAGTAAAAGATCCATCGCATCCTGGTCACTGTCTCTTCGAGCTCCTGCCGTCGGGACGGAGATACAGGATGATGAAGACAAGAATGAGCCGTCTTAAGAACAGCTTCTTCTCCAGAGCGATCTCGGCCCTGAATGGGAAGCCTGGACTTTGAAAGTCATCTAATCTTCCTTGCTGTATTATACTGTATTGTTTTAATTAGTGTTTTTATGGAGCAGTCAAGTAATTTCGTTGTCCCCGAGAGGGGGTAATGACAATAAAGATATTATTATTATTATTATTATTATTATTATTATTATTATTATTACGGTTGGGGGGGGAAGCCCGTAAGATTCGAAGAAGATGTGTAGTGTAAAGTACAATTACCAAACAATTACCTCTGTTAAAGCTTTTGGAACCCAGTTCAACCAATCATTTTAGTCCTGAGTTTAAGGTACAACACACTCCATACATTTAAAGCACTGTCCCCCACAAGAAACTTGGGAACTATAGCTTGTTATGGGTGCTGGGAATTGTAGCTCCCTGTGAGGTAAACTACAGTTCTTATGACTTTTTAGTGAGGGAATATGCTTAAAACGTATGGAGTATAAGCAGCCCCAGGGCACTCAACATGCAAAATCATTCATCTAAGTACTACTTCTTGGCTAACTTATTTTCATGAAGACATGTAATGAAATCCGGAAGGTGGAATATAAATTGTTTCCCTTGGAACTGAAGACAGCCACAGCAATAGAATTTGTCTGAAGAAACAACCTAACACTTTCCTCTTTGCTGTCTTTGGTTGCATAGGAAACCTTGACATCAGGTTGTTAGGTTCAGTGGAGACGCATGTAAAGAGTAATGAAGGCCACTTGATCAAGGCTTTTTTACTTTGAACAAACACTGATAATATCTTAGACAGCAAGTCAAAATGTGAGCTTTAGGAATATTGAAGAAAGAAATAAAACCAGACTCAGGATCAACTTTGTAGTAGATCTGGAAATGCACATCGGCTGACCCCCAAAGTCATGCCTGATGAATTTACAGGCTGCTTTCTTAACTTTTTCCATAAGTCCCAACCCCAGTTCATGAAAAATATAAAATTCATAGCACCAAATAGCAACAACAAAAGTACCTAACTAATCGGGGTCCATTTGTTCAAATTATTCTAGTTGCAGAGTCGGGGGAGGGAGGGGGGAAAGGAGAAATGACAGCATGTATTTCCAGAAGCCTAAGATGCATTAGCTCTGAGTTGTTCAGGAAAGCACAAGAAACCAAGAACTCTTGTCTGAAGTATATTTATAACTGCAGAGAAATGTGACTCATTCAGGAACACTAAATACTCTTTAGAATGCTTTTTCTATTATGGAAAATTGTGTTTAATAAATATGAGAACTGAAACTATTTCAACCTTATCTAGTAGCTTCTTGGAATGTTCTATACATTCCCTACTCTTCTTCTGGTATATAGTTACAAAGGCTCAAAGCAACTTAAAAAGCCATAATGCACATCCCTTTGTCAAAAGATGAAGGAAAGAGAAAATGTGTCTCTCCAAGTAGCTCATTATAACGTGGTTTATAAAGAGTATGAGTCATCCAACCAAGACCTTTTCAAGAAAATAACAGAGTATTATTTAAAGCAGAATGCTTTTGTTGTGCAATTGTGATGTCAACATACTACTTTTGGTCAATTTCACAAGTTCAGATCTATAGCAATTAGGAGAGAAAAATAGAACTAATCAATTTTCATGTACATGTTATTAGGTAGTCACGCAAACTGAACCTCCATAGGAAGTCCTGAATGTGAACAGGAAATTGCTTATCCCTGCTGATAAGCTCGGCAGTACTCAAGTTTTAGTGTATTTATGGTACTATTTTTTCTGGATTACTCCATAGCTTTTCCTATTATTTATTTAAACTAGACCAATGCAGCACCATGTTAAATAATGATATATATAATCTCATGGAATCATGCTGAAAAAAATCAGTTGCATGTTCATTTATATTATATGATTTGTCATCTATCAATTTACAATTATAACAGCTGTGTGTCAGCCAAAATACTTTTCTTTCCCACATTTATTCTTCCTTATAAAGTCAAGCCCAATCAAATCCACTCCATTGCACTGTTTTGGAAATATAGGCTCTGCTGTAAAACTAAAGACAAGCCAACCAAATCTGAAGGCAGGCATTCTTGGTTCCTCAGAAATGCTAACAATAGCAAACTGATTATTCTATATCAAAGAAGTTTGGTTTGCTTAATAATAGAAACTGTAACAAATGTTAACAGATTAACAACTATTGATGAAAGATCAAGCTGAGACTCTCCAATATAACTCCACTGAAATTTATCTGAGATAAATATTTTTAAAAAAATACTTACTTTGAAATAATGTTACATTAATTTGGTACCGATGCAAGACATATAACAAGATAAAGTGAAAGGCCTTGTCTTTCATTATAATGTTAAATTGCACTATTAATTTTATCAGATGAATTATTTATGAACAATCCACAATTAAAATGAAGTTCATACAGTGCAGAAGCAAACATCCATTTGGTGCCAACAGCAGGAAGCTACAAAACAGCATGGTTTTAGTTGCTTCAAGTCAGACTACTACATGCAGATTGAAACCAAGTGATATTTTTCATGAAAAGGTCAACTTTTTAAATTTAAAAACCATAGTGATATGTGATACCTTATTTTATTTCCCTAAGCCTATATCAAACAACTTTGTGCTGTATTTGCTGGTAGACAGTTAATCTGTTTACTTGTCACAGTTTCAGTTAATGTTTGGCTGTTTTCTCACACTAAGCTGACTATACTATATTAATATTTGGAACACAGAATAAATATATAGTCATAATTACCACCCATTTATTATTCAAAAACAACAAGACAAGAGCCTTAGCCTACTGAGACTACTGCTTTTATGCTCCTAGAGTTTATTCCAGACATCTTTATACACTTAGGAAATAATTTCCAAATAGTCCATCTACTCCAGCATCCTGTTTTCACACTTGCCAACCAGATGCCTAAGGGGAACTTTCAAGCTGAGTCTGAGCACAAGAGTATTCTTCCCTCCTGCAGTCTTCAGTACCTGGTATTTGGAAACGTTACTGCCTCAAGCTGTGGAGGCATAGCATAGCCATCATGGCTAGAAGCCATTGATGGTTTTCTCCATGAACTGGTCCAACACTCTTTTAAAGCCATCTAAGTTGGTGGCCATCACTGCCTCCTGTAGCAGAAAGTTCTATAGTTTAAGCGCTGCGTGAATGTTTCAGTCATTTGAATCTTTATAGTAAAGTTTATTTTGAAAGAGTAATTTAAGACCACTTGCAGTCTTCCATGATTCTTGGGAGGATTAAATCACCAACAGTCTTACAGAAGGCTACATAGGTGATAATATGAGGTGGAACAGTGGAAAAAGGAGGGTTTAAGGAAAAGAAAGAGACATATAACCTCTGCTTAGTTCCCAAAACAGTTCTACTGTTTCAAACTGGCCAGCAAATAGGCAATAATTCTCCTAACTAGGTTAGAAGTTTGCTAAATGTAATAAAGAAAGTGAATACTGTACTGCAGGGGAGAAAAGCTTTTTACCTTCATCTTGAAGCACTGTTTTACATATTAAATATTACTATGAAATTATGTAAAGATTCTCACCAACTGTTGAATATTGTAAGAAAAGCGATATGACTAGTATAAAAAGGAAAAACTGATAATTTTCAAAGGGTGCAACACAAAACTGAAGAGACATTTTTCAGAGATTTGAATCTTACCACATACATTCTTGAACTATGAGCAAACATGTAACAGTTTCAGAAAACTTATTCCAACTCCACCCTGATTTAATACTCTACAGTGCTCTCACAAACAATGCACATCACAGAGCACAAGAATTATCATTTTATTGTCATTAAAATAGTGACTGACAGTCAAAGAAAACATATGAAAGCCAACTGCTTCATATGCTTGCAAAATAGCCTTATAATCTAAATGCTACCACATTTCAGAGGCATACAAAGGGCTTGTTTATAAAACAGCTCCTAAGAATGCTGACTCAAGAACAAAAAAGCAGAAGTTGGGTGTGGTCAGCACCCTGTCATTTTGTACAATTTACAGCATACATTTTCAAGAATTATCAAGCCTATTTCCCCTCTCCCTGCTTATTTAATTTATATGCA